CATGCTCCAATGGTCATAATGACCATCGAAGCATGGTATGGCAGGTTGCACAAATCCATCAGAGGCCATTGATCACCTGCTGCAGCTGTGAGTAAACTTGGCTCTGATACCAAATGTTGAAAACTGATTTAAGAACAAGGAAGTCTTTCAGGTATTTTCTCAAACACTTAGTGAGAAGTAATAATATTGTAATTGAGGAAGATAATCTGTATATATTATTCACTGACCAAAGCCTTTAAATAGGCTAGAATACAATAACAGAAACAACCTGCATATCTTGCTAGAAAATATGATCAAAATAGAATCACTAAAGAATAGGAACTAATTTATGACTAGTTCAGAATATAGAAAAACTATATAGAAATAGGGAAATATTCTAACAACAATAAGCACAAGGAGAACAATCTCTACTATCTACACCAAGTAAAACATTATACACAATTAAAAAAAGTAGAGAAGGTAGATGAAACTCCCCTAATGAATCTCTTGTGTCAAAGAATCATCATGAAGCCTTCTTGGAATTGAGCATACTCCTTAGTGTTATTCCTAGAGTCAAGAGCATATAGACATGAAAGCACAAGTGAAAGCAAGATATAACAAAAATAAAAGTGCTAAGAAAAATAAAGAAGAAAGTAAGGTGCAATAAAATTAAAGATAACATGGGGTGCCTCCCATGAAGCGCTAAGTTTAACGTCGCTAGCTCAACTCAACCTCTCAAGGAATTATCCATGCATGATTGGATGAAGATGAGTTCCTTTTCTCCATCCACTTTATCTTCAATGAATTTCCTTAAATGCCGGGCATTAAGGAACTCCTTTAAGCTCAAAAGTAGCATATTCTTCTCAAAGAAATTGCAATGATCGACTTCCAAGAATATGTTCTCTTCTTCAATCTTCATCTCTTTTTCTTTTTCTTTTTCTTCAACTTTTTCTTCCACATAGCACTTCAAGTGGTGGCAATCAATAAGTTCCTTTAAGATCAAGTTCACTACTCCAATTGCTAGGATTCTCTCATTCTTCATTCCAAGTTCCATGCTTTTTTCCTCAAATTCATTCTTGATCCATAAATCAACCATGGATTTCTTCCTAAACTTTGGATCAAGACAGTAGCAATGAGCTTGATTCTTTTCTTGATCTCCACATTTTTCCTCTTCTTGATTTTCCTTTTCTCGAGCAAGTAATGGAAACCTTGGGTCTTCATCATGCACCAATAGGAAGTTAGAATCCTTGGATATGAATATAGGCCAATGAGGGCCTTCACCTTCAAAAACATTGACACCTCCCGGTTCCCAAGATATTCTAAAGTTCTCACCCAAGGGAGTGTCATCCATTGAAGGGCATTCTTCATGTGTGCCACAAATTTCATCAATTTCATCATTGTTGAGCATTTCTTCAATTGGACCATCTTCAAGTTGTTGTTCCTTATAACCATTTCCTTGCAACTCTATACTCTCTCCCCAACTTGGTGTTTCCATCTGTAACTAACATTCTGTTAGAATAGTTAGAATCAGTTGTGGTAGTTTTAATGGATAGAAGGTGTATATAAATCCTCTTCCTTTCTCAGTAGTAGTTGTAAAGATCAGACAGTGTTACATTGATTTCTGACCAAGAGGTTCTCTGTACACGAGGGTTACTTTCTCTTATTCTCTCAACAACTACTACTGAGAAAGGAAGAGGATTTATATACACTTTCTATCCATTAAAACTACCACAACTGATTCTAACTATTCTAACAGAATGTTAGTTACAGAATGGTTAAGATCAACAGCGTCAGAGGTTGGTTTTGTGAGCTTCTTGTCAACTGTATTTGCTGGTGGTTTTGCTGAAGATATACCATCTGGTGATACTTCTCATATTCCTTTTAATTTATGAATTAATGGAATATATCTGGTCATGATAAGCTACTCTATATTTATACATGACCCATGAGTTTAGTTTTAAGACATCAAAAATAGATGTGCAATTATAAGTGCTACATATATAACATATTGAATATGCTTCTCCTTATTTGAAAAATTTGAGCATATAATATCTTGATTGAACTAATAAGAGAGTTTGTTATTCTCTTGTTGACAATTAATTATTTGCTATAGGCCATAACGGTTGAGATTTATCACACAACTTATATTTGAGACAATAGCATAAATTCTCAATAAGGTTTTTCATTGTTAGGTTGCACTTGTCGTTGGTAAACCTTAGTTTGATCTTGATATGAGTCTAAATATTGTGATATATAGCATAAATATTGAATATAGCTTTGCCCAGAAGGCAAATTTGTTGCACTGATATATGATAATAGCACTAGGACAAATTCCCCAAATGTAAAATTGACTTGGTATTGATATTAAAAAGTCAATTGTTATTTGTCCAAATTCAAGTTTATTGGTTGCGCTAATTTATTATAGCATTGTTTCACATGAGTCTTTGACATTGAAATAAATCTCAAATTTCAGTATTTAAACAAGATGATAATGCCTAATTTTTAATATAGTTTTGCCCAGAAGGTAAACACTAAGAGCACTAGTTTTTATTGTCACCCTTTGTCGTAAGCCCTCTATTATGAATATTTGATCGGAAAGGATCCATAGACCCTAAGTCAATCCATGAAGGATTACCATGAGTCTATAATATATAAATTATAAATTATTATGATCCCCCAATGCATACAATGCATGATCCAAACAATTAATTATTGGTTAATTATCTGGAAAGTTAATTATTGAATTTTACTTCTCGAAGTTCACTTCCCAGATTTTATTACTTGGTTTTTACTTCCCTAATTTTACCTCCCGGATGTTATATTTTGGATGGTACATGAATTCGTTGTACTCCAGTAGAAGTACATGATCAAAACTATTTTAAACATTGTCATCTACGATAGTCACATAGTACTCCAGTAGCAGTACATGACAAAATTATACTAAGTGCTTTGAGTGTCGTCGATTTTTTTTTAAAAGACAACAACACTTAACTTTTGTGGAAATATACTCTTTGAGCTTTAAATCTTCCCTACTTGACAATGTGTTGGTCATTGGGCTATTTATCTAATAAGGCCTGGAAGACCTCTAATGGGATTCATTTTTGGATGAGTAATGACTCATGAATGAAGTCTGCAACTTCTATTTTTTTTAATGTTATGCTACTCTACAAAAATGCTATGTGATTCATAGCCAAAAGTGATTCACATCATGTTGGTTTGCTTAAAGCAAACAAATTGTGAATATTTGATGATGATGCCTCATCATAAATTGAGAAAATGAATTTTTGAGATCCTGAATGATCGCACCATCTATACATCTATATGGCGTTTAACTTATTTAAGATGGTTGTGTACTCGTAAAATATCATTTAATCAATATGTATGCTTTCTCTATTTGGACATATATGATTGCATATACTTTTGAGTACTTATATGTTGCAATTCTTTTAAAATTTTAAAGACCAATTTTTTAAAAAAATTATGGCATGAACAATTGGGTCCCTTAGGGCAAACATAATGAGTAAGATATTGGAATTTTTAAGCATGTGTGAATAAGAAATTACCAAATTATCTATTTTTGGGGATATTTGTATTAATTCAAATCTGACTCACTGAATCGTAAATATTTCCCCATACACATAGTACATGGTAGAATTAAACATTTCCCAATCCGTGTTTCTATTTTTAGTATGCAGTTCATTTTATTGTATCATCACCTCAGCGTATCTCTGTGGGCTATAGATCTCTGTCTGTTGTTTAAATACCTAGAGCTCATTATAGGGGATCAATAGATACGCTGACTGCATACTTAATTAATGAAGATCGTTTCTTGGTATCAGGGGGAGATAAGAGTTCAAATTTAATAGAATGCCAAGAAATTTCATAGAATGAAAATATCTTCATTATTTAAATCTATGTACTAGTTAGACTGAACTGAAAGATCAGAAGATGATCTATTTGCGATATTAGCAAATAATTTGTCAAATATATCTATTGATCATAAAAAGAGTGACTAGGTCCCCTATACCTTCCCCAATTTGGACCAAATATATATACCGATACTCCTTGACGCCAGAAGTGTAGGAGATTTATCGGTGTAAGATATAAGAATCATTATACTAGATCTAGTAAATAAACATTGTCACTCTTGAAATAGCATTGAACAATTATGTCCTGCAGACGTTCGTCCAGATGACGAAAAATTCTAGTAAAATTTATAGGTGCACCAAACAAACGTAATACTAGAGATGCGGAACGACCAGATCAAAATATCTTTGGGAAATGTCTAGAATCTGATTGTTTTAGAAATTGCCATTACTTTTACAAATATATGGGAGAAATTTATAAAAAGGTTATATACTTGTCGACAACACAATTACCATTACAATATTATTACCGGTAATCTGTAGGAAACCTATAAAAAGTTCTAGACAAAAAAAAATATGATTTATGGCTCTAAATATCACTTATTAAAGATCATGGTTCTTCATTGATCTTTTTCCTGAAGACCTTAATTGGATTTGTCCTGACAAGCTCTTCATGTTCTCCTTTGATATTTAAGCTTGTGTAGTTGTTATAGGCTTCACGAATGTTTCTTCCTTCAACTATTCCAGCGTTCCACCACGAAATTAGCTCAAACGAATTCATTCCTTCTTGATAGCTCTTTCCTGACTCTTTGTGCACTTTGAAAGCTGCATTGTGAATAACATTTTGTGGAGAGTCTTTGGTTACACTTGAAAGATCTTCGATGAGATTCCTGATCCTTTGTCTTTCCTTTGTTTCATCCTCTCTTCTTTTGATTTCTTCATCATGTTTCTTCCACAGCTCTCTGTTTTCTCTTTTGATTCTTTCGTTTTGGGTGCTAATGTGATCTTGCCTTGTATGATTGTCCCTTGTTTTAAGCCAGGTAGGGACATTGCAACCCTCAAAACGTTTACCACTTCCTTCTTCGTATGGAACAAAGTCCACAAAGTTTCCTATGCCATCCATAGTTACTTTGTTGTTCTTCATAAGTCTCTGCCTTAGTTTTGTCTGTTCTCTCTTGGACAGACCCGCGAAGATGTACTTGGCTTCAGAACCAAAAGATTGGCGAGGCTTAATTGATCTGGATTGGTATCAACCATGGATCTTGGCTTTGAAGAATGGTGACCACGAGACCTTGATGGAGGATGGGATGGATTTGTGTTCCTTCGGCCAGAGTCTCTTGGTGTCCGAGAAGGCGAGTGTCTTGCTTCTGGAGACTGATCTTTCGTGTTATCTCTCGGATCTCTCGGATGATCATCATCCCTATCCTTGTCATCATTTCTCTTTTCCCCCTTTTTGGCATCATCAGCACAGGTGGTAGGAGGAACAGAGGAAACCTTATTGACTGCAACCAAGATATCCTAGGCATACCCGAGAAATTGAAGAGCATATTCTCCCAGTTGGTATGCATTATCTTGATAAGTATCGATCTTGGTACATGCTAGGTCAACATGTTCTTTAAGGCCAAAATGAGAATGTTTGAGCTCGTGTTGTTGCCGTGCAACTTTGTTCATGGTGGTGTCCAATTCATGAAGTCTCTTAGCAATTCGCTCAAGGAACTTGTGATCAGATTGAGCTTGTTGAGACGGTTGAGGCTGTTCTTGAGGTGGAGGCTGAGGTTGAGATTGAGCAGCCATCAGAAGATCTACCTTCTTGCATAAATCATCTAAAACTTTCGTGTCCTTTTGCCGTAAAGCAAGATATTGCAAATGGATGGTTTCGGCTGAATGGACAGTTTCTCTCATGAGGTTCGTGATAGTCCGTGGGGATTCTGCAGTAGACTCTTCTTCAATGTTTGTTGGTGTTGTGTCCATTTTTTCATCTTGATGTAGTGCTTCCCTTTTGCCACCACTTGCTGAGCTGAGAAGGATTGGTGAGGCTTCCAGTTTGCCCTCACGAACAGATTCTTTCTCTTGCTTGATTGGAGTCTCGTCCATAGGTAGAACAAGTGGAACTATGGCACGAGACAGATCTTCGAGATGTTCATTTGAAGCTTCTTTCGGGTTATCACTGTCAAAGGGTAATTTTCTTAGGGGAGATCTTTGAGGAAAGGTATCATAATCAGGACCGATCAAAATTGGATCACTGTCTTCGGGATCGGCTTCCTGAACACCTACATTACCCAACTGATCATCATTGTCATCATCATCATCGCTGTCATCATGTTCGTCATCTGCATCATCATCATCATTATCATCTTCATCTTCATCTTCATTCATATCACTTTCGTCTTCTTCAATCTCTCGTCCATGCTCATCCTTCGTGCTACTAACATTGCAGTTTGGATCATTCTGGTGTTCCTTTTCTAATGTGGTTTTGATTTTTGACAGCAGCATGGCATAACGAAGTTGCTTCATTTCTTCTTCCAAGGCTGGATCCAATGGTGGCTTGTTAAGTTCAATGCAGATTGGAGCTTTGTCTCTCCCGAGAGTGCGATTTGACATCTTGTAGGAAAACACTCTATTGATTTCTTCAAGGCGAAGGGCTTTGTAAACATCATCTGTGCCAACCCATTTCAGTGCAAAGTCTTCTTTGTCTTGCATAGCTTCAAAGGTTTCAAGGAATGTTCTTAGGGGAGCGGTGCGCCACTTTTGCCACTACAAAACTCGTTGATAATCACTTTCAATAGATGCTCGGAGAATTTGATCTGGTGTTGGTGCTTTGGGAGCTGGTACAGAAGGTTTCGGGATAACTGGGATTGTTATCGGCACAACAGCTGTCTCTTCTACCAACGCAGGTTCTTGTGTCAGAATAACTTGCTCTGCATTGGTAGGTTCTTGTGGCAGAGATGTCATATCAAACAATGCATCAGACGCTCCTTTCGTCTTTTCTGGCGAACCAGGTTCTTGTGGAAGACTTAAGCGACTGGCCTCCATTTCTACATCAGCAAGTTCTTGTGTCAACTCTCGAAGAAGTTGCTCTGCCAAAGTAGGTTCTTGTGGATGGGGGACTTATGAAGGAATGAGATCAGTTTCTGGGACTTGATCATCAGAGAGTCTTTCAGGAAGGACAACTTTCGGTTGAGCTTCCCCCTAAGAGTGAGTTTCTTTCATGACTTCTTCCCCTGTGGAGGTGCTTCTCTCGTGTCTGCTACTTTCGGTGTAGAATGTTTCTTCGGGGAAGGCTTTGACTTGACAAGAGACCGAAAGTGACCCTTTTTGCCGAGTCTTGAGAGTGCCAGAGTGTCCTCTTCTGATGAATCTTTTACAATGATTGTTTCTGGTGATGGAGTAGGTGGAGTAGGATCTTTCTTCTCTGGAAGAGGTAGAACAGCGTCTGTCTTCTTTGCCTTACTCCGAGAGGAGTGTTTTTCTCGCTTTTGTCGTTTAGGCTTAGGTTGATCATCCTCGGAAACCTTAGGAGTTCTCGACTTCCTTTTGGTTTTAACCTGCTCAATAGGAATTCCTAATTCCAATGCCTTCTGCTTGTCATAGCCTGAAGGTTTCTGTTTCATATGGCATGCTTTCGGTCCTGACCTGATTCCTTGGCGCATTAAAATTCTTTTGGTGTCGAGAAGATGACTGACCATGAATCCATACCCTAATTTCTTGGCTACGTCACCAGGACTCTTTCTGTTGTAGGTGATGGTGTCGACGAGATTGTTGAAGATGATTTTTGACCAATCCACCTTGATTTCATTCAGAAAGGCATGCATCATCTTTAATTTCTCCTTTGTTACGTCATCAGTTCCTGAAGTTTTGTGATCAACAACTTTGTTGAATATGTCAACTGTAAACTCATAATTTAGTCAAAACCACTTCTTCTTTAACGGCCATGAGATTTCTGACTTCGCCGGACCTTGGATGTTCTTGATAGAGACATAAAAGTCTTCTGGATCGTGGTAATAATGGGTAAGGTTTGACATGTAAGAGTCATCTCTCTGTGGAAAACCGTAGGTGGTTCGAATGTCTTCCGAGGTGAGGATCACTTCATGATTGTGAACCCTGGAGGTAATGGTCAGAGAATCAGAGGAGACGGTTGCGTTCATGTAGAACTGAGTTACGTCAATAGGGTGCCATATGGTGTAAAGATGAGTGATGAATCTATACAGTCCCGTTTCTGTGAGGAGCCGAATGAAGTTTTCACCAAATCTTCTGTCCAAAATGTATTCAAGAAACCCATGTGCATCCCACATGCTACCCCCGATGATAAAAAGGTACTCTGGATTCAATGAACCTCAAGTCTTCAGTTGGAAAGCTTGGGATTTCCAGGATGGATGGTGTTTCTGGTTCTTTAGCAGTAGGTGAAGCTTGTGAGTGTTCCGCCATTGTTAAGGATTGAGAGATAGAGAAGAGTGATGAATGAGTGTTGAGATTGAGTGAAAAAAGGTAAGGTATAATGAGAGGAGAGTTTACGTAGGGTTTTATCGAACTCCGGGTAACCGGTTATGGGTAACCCATTTAGAGATGGATTATTTGAATTTCAAAAGTGCTACTGGTTCCTCTTCTCCAATATGGTAACTGATCATAGTGGGGGAGTGATAAGATCGTGTGCAGATCAAAATTGATCATTCCACCATTTAATGAGGTGAGAGAAAAACACTTGAGTGCTTATGGGTGCATTAAATGCACGTCACGTCCTGTGTCAGACAGAGTGGGATAGTGGACCATTTTTCTCGGCCACATGATCCCCATTATGATTCATCTAAACGGTTTGGATTAAAAGTTAAAGATGAAGCGTCTTAGGCACGATTCCAAACCCGAAGATAGATAAGATTATCACAACATATGATTTGTAAGACAAATAAAGTCAAACAAATCCTTTTTACAACAGCAAAGGTGTTTTTCCCGAGAGATTTATTACACAGCACAAACGTAACAGAAACGATTACAATCTCTCGTGCATTAGTAGGCAAGCTTGCCTTTACTCAATGCTACCCTTCTTCTTTCGTGCATACTCAAAATACTCCTTCTTTTGGATCTCATGAGCAAACACTTCAGCGATGAGTGTCTCGTGATCTGCTCCCAGTGTTTCTCTAGAGAGACCTCGTCTCTCCATGTCATCCAGTTCAGCCAAGACTTTGGCTTTAGCAAAAGCGTACAATGCACGATACCTTTCTTCGTGTTTCAGAAGTGGTGTGAGTTGAACAAGAGAGTAGAACTCTGAGATGTCTGGTTCCTTCCCAGAGGGTGAACCTTTGTCAACTGAGTTTCCAAGATCATGGTGAGACATTTTTTCATACACAGATAAGCTCTCGGATGTGAGGGCCATTTCCTTCCCTTTATCCATGAGCTTGAAGATGTGAAGAATGAGTCCATTGTTAAGTGAGAGGGTCCATTAAATAGAAAGTTGGACATCTCAAAAGATGTGTCCGAATGACTTGACCAAGGCACGCCTTAGGGAATATATTCATTTCCAAGAAAGTTGTCCTTGATCCGAGATTTTAAACATATGACAAATGAGACAAAGAAAGTCTCGCTCAATATCTTTAAAGAAAAGCAGAGCTAACGAAGTTTTATTATTCATAATACCGAGAGAAGAAAATACATAAGGTGAGATACAAAATCCAAGGGATCAATTCTTCTTTCTCTCGTTTTTCTTGACTCCAGACGACTCAGCTTTCGCATTTTTCAGATTTCTCCACATCTGCTTGTACCACTTCCCGGTTCGTGGGTAGTTTGAACCGGATGAGGATTCAGGTTCTTCCCCCTTAGCATATGCCTCTTTTTCATCCTCTTGTTTAAGAAAGGCCATATAATCTCGATCATAAAACTTGTTGGGATCCTCAGGGGTGGCTTGAATAGGATCTTTTGAAAGCCTTTCTTCACTTTCAACAATAAAGCCAGCCATCTCATCATATTGAAGAGATGAGTCAGAATCAGAGAGAATGTCCACTGGTGCTTGTGGACTGTTACCAGGATAAAGGTCACCTTGTTCCCCCCGGATACGTCTAGCAACCTCTCTTAGTTTGTGAGAGTCACCTCTAGTGAAAGGTTTCTTTGGAGCCATGGTGAGGAAGAGAGAGATGGAGATGATGTGAAGAACTCACTTCCTTTTATAGCAAGAGATCCATAATGTTCATGTGCCTGTTACACATATTTTTCAACACAGCAATTAATGCTCATAAATATCTTCAAGGAGTTATCAATTCCAGGCAAGACTTTGACTGAGAATATTCGACTCTTTATTAAGCATGCTCCAACTCCAATAAGCTTAAATGTTAGATAACTCATAATGTTTTATGGCCCCTTTTTGACCAGATTATATTTGAGTGAAGAGATTTCCTGTAACTTTAGACAAGAAGCTGACAAAGATAAACATAGTCAAGAATTGCATTCATTCTAAGTACAAAAAAGATAACACTTTTATTAGATCATAAAGGAGAGAGAGAGAGAGAGAGAGGGTTCCAAGTCACGAGAGTACAGCACACAACAGTTTAGAGAAAACGATAAGGCACGTGAAGTTCCAGACGAGTCATCTCTTCGGTCACATCAGACAGATTTGCCTTCTTTGCATATTCATCTAGCTCCTCAAGTGAGAGAGTGGGATCGGGTGAATGAGTGGAAGACCGAGAGTGAACCATAGTGAAATCTTCATGAGATTGATCACTGGATTGGGGAACTTCAAGAAAAGGATGCCAGTGAGAAGTAGGAGTAGATGTTGAATGCTTGTTAGAGCTTTTCATCATCATTATTCTCTCGTTAGCAAGCCGTTTGGCTTGTTCTAAGCAGTATGCTTTCTTAGCCCTTGATTCATTGAACAGATTGTCAAGAGTTTCCTTCTCCTTTCGCGTTGCTGTGTTAGACATGGAATAAGTTACGTTGACCCTTTCCCCATCTTCTTCCAGCTTAATGATGGTGGCATTTGGTAGCTTGCTGGCTTCTCGCAGATGATGTTTTAGGCGAGTAGCTCTTCTTTCAGCTTCATCGATCTTTCCTTTTCCTTTGTCAATTCCTGCAAGCTTTTTCCTTTTCTAAGGGTTGAGAGTGAGTAAAGCTCATGAAATGGGAAAACAATTTATAGGCAAAAAGTTATCGTGTGAATCTTAATAAAATCTTTTGGATACTGACACCATATAGAAAAGATATCGAAAGATAGAGTCATATATTAAAAGATTACAATCATGATAACATCACAACTTATCACCGTGGCCTAACAAAGTTATTTAGGCCTTCATTTTCTTGCTGCTTGCGGTGGATTTGAGAGGAGATGCCATCTTAGTTGGAGTGCTTGAGGGTGAGGAGTCAAGACTACCACTTTGTTCCAACACACTGTGTTCCTTGACATACCCTATAGGGTTGCCAACAGAGTGAAATGACTCTCTTGACTCATTTTCGGTTGGGTCACGGAGAAGACTCTGTATGTGTTGAGAATGTTCAAGAAATTGATTAAACTCTTGCTCGGTTACAAGTGGTTCATTGAGAATTTCGCTTTTCCCTCCTTGTGCCTCAGTGATTGTTCTTTTTCTGCCTGTACTCATATCTGCACATGCAAAGACAAACACTAGAATTTTTGTTAGATATGAAAATTTAAGCACGTCGTGTACCTCATTTATAAAGATCCTTGCGTGTGAGGATGGATCAAATCTTTTGAATATCGAGAG